TGTCGATTTTCTTGCATGGTTACGAGTGGAAATGCGTTGCAACTAATTTGACGTAGATGGAGTTCTGTTTCTCTTGAAATATCTCTAAATATCTGACGACGCTCTGCAAAGTGCATTTAAAGTATCCGCTATTTTTACATCGACGTCCGTGCACCCGGTCAGCCCCGGAATGTCTCCCGCGTAGCTCGCGGGACTCAAGTTTGGGTCGTCTCCAAGTACCGGGTCCTGTACGCCGCCGATTGCCGGCCCCAGCCTCGGTTCTCCTCACGTCCACAACGCATTAAACCATTCCCAGTGTAACACGATTCCAAACATCCTGGCCAGGCGCAGCCAGGGCACGTTCCGGCAAGAGTTTTCCAGGCACACGATCGCGATCCCACGTCCTCCGGACCCACCCGACCCCGGCCTGACCCCACCGACCCCGGCCGGACCCCGCCCAGCCTGACTCGGCCGGACCCCGCCCAGCCTGACTCGGCCAGATCCCGCCAGGCCCGACTCCGGCGCTCCTGGCGGCGGCCTTGTGTTCCTTGGCATTTCCGGCGACTACCAACACCTACCTGGCGATACGGAGCGGAGGACGTGGCGCGTGACACATTGGCCCAGTTTATCTGTCGGCGCAGTTTCACCGTCGGAGGCGGTCGCCATCACTGCCAGTGTCTGAGCCTGGTTCGCCGTGCTCGGAGAGCTTGACGCCCTTCGTGGCGTGGAGTCATGTGCGGTTCCCCGGTCAAAGCTGTGATGAAGACGTGTTTGCCAGCGGCGGAGTTATCCGTGCTCATGCAACCACTGCTCTGCCGTTACGCGGTTGTTTCGTGGCTTCATGTGCTCACATGTTTGGACGACGGCGAACAAGTCAACGCGGCTTAGTTGAGGACTATGCGTAGAAGTAGGCAGGGACAGGGCAATGAATGACGAGTAATGGCCGAGTGATTAGTGCCTTCAGCTTCCAAGTAGGGGTTTGTGCCATGACCCATGAGCGCTAACACCAACCTCTTCGGTCGCTGGTGCTGCCTAAAAGAGTGCGCGACAACGTGCATGGTGTCCCCCTAAAAACAACCTTTAGGGATGCTAATTCGTCAGTATGGCTCACGACTGGCTCCCACTGTCACAGAATACCGAGCCAAGCATCGTGATTTGCACGACACTGGAGCTTATGGACGAGGGGATGGACTCTAAATCACGCAACGCCGACAGCACCACACCATGACCTACACTCTACTCACGGCGCCCAATTAAAACCGCCAGCTAGGCATCATGCAGCATCGCAGTCTCCACCTAGCTACGCTTCTCCGCGCATCGGTGTCGCCCGCCGCCGACGGCGAAAGTGCGCCGCTCGCCTCGCGCCGCTGACCGTGGTCACGTGATCGGCGCGTGAGTGACCATTGGCGTCGGCGTGTCGCCACACACCGGCCGGTCGGGGTCACGTGATCGCCGCCGGCGGGAGGTCACCGTCGGCCGACGCTCGGCGGCGGGAGCGTGCTCTCGCGTAGCCGCGTGTGCAAAGATGTGAAACCATTCCGGTTTGTCGGAGGCGCTTACATGCTGTCGCTGTGCCACCTTGTAAAGACGTCGGATTAATGTGCCCATTACTGTCAAACGAAATATGAAAGCTGCCTAACCACGCGTGCATGCCCTCACTCGCGTTCGGTTCGAGCTTGTCATAGCGAGATGTAATCTTGCCTTCCGTGAATGCCTCTTTGGCGATCGTCCTCGTTTGGACTCGCTCACGAGAAAGTGTTTTTTCTCCTGCTGGTTTTGTAACCGGATAATTCGGTTTCCTTTTCATGTTGAAATATCATATATTATCCCAATCTGCCATTCTAATGGATACACACACACACACACACACACACACACACACACACACACACACACACACACACACACACACACACACACACACACACACACACACACATGTATATATATATATATATATATATATATATATATATATATAGGGGTGACAGCTCAATTGATTTCACAGCATCTGCTGTCACTTCCGTATAAATCATTCGGTCAACGTTCCACTGGTCTTGCATATCATAATCGGGTCAGGATATCATAATCAGATCAGGGCATGACACGTGATGTCATGTAAAGTACAATGCTACCAAAACATGACTATATTTCAAAAACAAATCCAGCTCACATGACAGACATTGTTCATGATAAGACGTTCGTGCAATAAAGCAAAACATCTGGAAGCAAACAGGTACACGATAACGTGGCGGTGGATTTTACATGGTGCGCATGAGAGAAAGCACACAAGTCCACATGATGGTTTGCAGAGGTACGCAGAACCAATGACATTCGATGATTTGACAGTCCTAAGATAAACAAAATGTCTGCTTCGTCCGAATATGGAAAAATGTCAATGTTGAGGCAAATGTCAAAAACAAATGAATGATCCCGGATGGGCAGAGCGTCTGGGTTGGAAGAAACGTTTCCTCTACGATCAGCCTTCAAAAATGATTCTGTGCTCTGCAGTGCTGTCTGCTCAGGTTTGAGGCCACATATGAGGCGCCACACAGAGTGAAACAATATTTATAAACGATTGCAGACGGAACAGTTGGAAAGCTTGCCTTTCAACTGAAAATATTTGCACTACTTTGTGGTCATAGATTGATATATGATGGAAGCAGTTTATAGATACAAATATTCCACCTGTCACCGCAATTATGTCCTCGCATTTCTGTCTAAACATTGCTGTGCTTCGCGTAGAGCATCAGACCTGGGGCAACTCTGCGTGGCCTGCGCTCTCTAGTACAGCAATATTTGAGAATGTCTCACCATTCAGTAATCATTTTCTCCAGCCCAGACCTTTCGTCCACGTGAGATCTGGGTCCGGATCTGGGATCTGGATCTGGGCCATTTTTTCGCTGTCTGCGGAACAATGTCTTAATGCCTAAGATCGTTTGCCGACGCATACACGGTCATATCACTACAAGAAGGAATTGTCCGTTGTAAGCTGGGACACTGGCATATTAAATTTTCCTGGCTCTGAATACAGCTGGTGCATCCAGCTGTTACCGGATAAGAGCCTGGTAACCAAACAGAAGCCCTTACTTGTTTTTATTTACCTCTGTAACAGATAATACCACAAATCCATGACTATTTACACCTCCCAAAAAAATTAGGAAACAAGCTATATCAACTATTAACTACCTTCCTTCTCAGGTCATATCGAGGATCACGGAATGTCGTTTTGAAATTTTCAACACCTAAGCGTTACCCACACACTTGGAAATAAGCCGCCACAACTGCACTTTCCGTCATAGCTGAGATAAATTTTGTTTTCACGTGCCCTACGCAGACCCGAGGGCTGCTGACAGTCTACAGTTGGAGGTGTGTCACTGTCAGCCCTCAAGGCTGGGAGCGGTCTGAGTGCGCGCGTGCTCTCGTCCTATGCACGTGCCCTACGCAGACCCGAGGGCTGTTGACAGTCTACAGTTGGAGGTGTGTCACTGTCAGCCCTCAAGGCTGGGAGCGGTCTGAGTGCGCGCGTGCTCTCGTCCTACGCACGTGCCCTACGCAGACCCGAGGGCTGTTGGCAGTCTACAGTTGGAGGTGTGCCACTGTCGGCCCTCAAGGCTGGGAGCGGTCCGAGTGCGCGCGTGCTCTCGTCCTACGCACGTGCCCTACGCACACCCGAGAGCTGTTGGCAGTCTACAGTTGGAGGTGTGTCACTGTCAGCCCTCAAGGCTGGGAGCGGTCTGAGTGCGCGCGTGCTCGCGTCGTGGTCCGCTGGCCATTTAGGGCTAAGGTCGGCTCGAAAGGAGGCGGATGCCCCGGTCTGGTCCTGCTCACAGCCACGGAGGTCACCGGGTCGACCTTCGGTCACGGTCCGCCGGTGTGCCTCCGTTTTGAAGTGCTCCGTCACCTGGCCTTTTGAACAGCCGTGACAGGATGGACTAGTTTTGGATGGACTCCTCTGATCTTATCTCGGGTATTCTATAGGACATTATCTGTACGGCTCATTTGTGTACTATATTTGAGTGTTGTCTTGGAGTTTCTAGACAGCGTCATACTCACACACCAGTAGTTATTTATGCGGACCATAGTTGTTTTTTTAAGACTCGATCACTAGTGACTGCTTTAAGCTTAATAGACATGAAATGGGACATACATCCTCGTACTTCTCTTTTTACGCCTAGTCAGGATATTCAAGCCGTTTGTAGTAGATTACTAAACAAAAAGATGATGTTGAAGTTTGTAATCGCGTGGCGAAAAAGCATAACAATGTTCTCCTCAGACCCCATTAAGCCTGAGGAACACCAATGCTTCTTTCGTATTTCAAACAGCCATGGATTATGATAATTCAATGTTCTGAACAAGTGGATGTGCCGACTGAAGCGCGAATTTTCCATGTAATTTTCCATGTAATTTTCCTGTCAGCGCGTTTACCTGCTGTGTAATCTTATCAGAATATGTTGATGTCTCGTAACCCAGTTCCCTTCGTTTTTATGCACATTTTGGTCTGCTTTGGCTGCAGCACATTTTGGTTCACTTTGTATCTGTTTGAATACGTCCATTTTTATTTAGCATGAGTGTGAAGGAACAACAATGTGTTATCCTTTTCTCTATGGCTCAAAAGCTCTATAAAGCAATGGCTTTCCCATAGGTATCTAAAAAGCGCTGCCTATGGCTTCTGGTCTACAGTGATGTTCTGAACGTAGTCGCTTGCTATTAAGCAGAAAGATCAAGGAAACCGCTTTCTGTAGAACATATTTTGTTTCACATAACTGCGATGAAATGGAAGCTCGGAACCTATTTCCAACCCATCCTGAAAATGCTGGGCGCTCAAGAGTATTTTCAGTACCCTTGCATTGTTTCCTTACTTTCTTGTCGACCTTTCTTTCATCAACCACGAAACCGCCGTCGCTGAGGAGCCTGGATGGTCAAGCTTCACTAGTCCCCACTCATCCTGCCAATCTGCTCGCGTCAGTTAAGCATCTTTTTGTCGGTTTATTGACCAGCTTCCGTTCTTACCTCTCCAGGTACGGTCGCGTGAACGTGTTGCACTGGCTGCTCTGGCAGACCGACCAGATGCCGGCTCCCACGCACACCAGCGCCGCCCGGGACCGGCTCAACAACGGCAAAAACGGCGTACTAGCGCTTCACTATGCCGCCGCTAGGGGATGTCTGGACTGCGTCCAGCTTCTCATGGAGTCTTCGGCCGACTACAGGTAAGTGGATGCGGTTACGGTCTGTTTTCTAGCCATCCAGTTGATGACAGGTGCGCGTCGGACCGTGCGGAGTCGTCACTCGTTTTTATGACGTCACGAGCGTCACGCGCTAAGGGATGCGCAGTGGAAAACCGACTGCTGCGCCCCGGGTGCAGCGAAGAGTCCGCCAGCCGCTCTTGTCAACAACTAAGCAGCGAATGACATACCGACGATAAGATCGGTCGAGGGTGCGACAGCAATGCAGTTATTTATAACGTACGCTAAGGTGGCCATGGCCTCTCACGTCACTAGGAGTACAGCAACTCTGCTACCTCTAACTACCTCTAGCTCTCTACCTACCTTCACCACCTGCCTCTTCCTCTCGCTAACTCTGCTCTACCGTGTGCCTGCCTGGTACTCCTGCTCTGCCGGCGAGAGCTGAAATAAAATATCATACATTTTCTCTTTGGCAGTGCGTTTCTTAGTATGACCGTGCAAGGGATTTAGCAGGAATCTGCTTTTTCGTTGTCGTTTTTTTAAAGAAAGAAACTGTTACGCTGGCAAATGCGTTGCAAGGACGATGCTGACTTAAATAACTATCGTTCATGATATATACCTTCAGTAGCAGCTCTCGAGTTCATGAGTGATGTTGACGAATAGACTGCAAGAAAGATTTTAACTAAATTAACAATCGTTCACGACACACACACACACACACACACACACACACACACACACACACACACACACACACACACACACACACACACACACACACACACACACACACACACACACACACACACACACACACACACACACACACACACACACACACACACACACACACACACACAAGTGTAATCAAGTTGTAACTTTTAGCTTCGGGCGAACAGCGCACTGTAGTGTGGTAAAATGTTGTCTATCATGGGAGTTCATGCGCCATTAAATGGGCCGACAACCGGATGCTTGTTTGACGTATGATTAATCGTATTAATTGTTGCTTTATTTTCCCCCGACATACTATTTACAACTAACAAAGTGGCTTTACACCGATAGTCCTCTGGTGTCCCTGCATTTTCCTCCTTCGGAATCCTCTCTCCCCACCCTCTCGTCGGCGAGGGCATCGCCGGTCACTGCTTCCCAGATCTGCCGCCAGAGGCGCCGCTGTGCTCTGCCGGGTGGCGCGGCGGCCGGCCGCTCCACGGCCGCGCGCGGTATCCCTCGCAGCATCATCTGGCGGTCGGCGCCGCCCAGTTCTAGTTGAGTGGCTCAGTCCACCGTTACACGCCTGGCGCGCGGTGAAAAATGACACCGACGCCGGTGGCGCGCTCCGAACGCCACTGCGGAGAGAGGCCACCAGCAGGCTGGGAGGGGCTTCCAATCAGCGTTGGCGACGGGGTCACGGCGCCGGTCCCACGTCGCCGTCGGTCGTCACCGCTGCGGAGCTGCTGGGCTCGGGCTTTGGGCTCAGGGAGTCGCTGGGCTTGAGCTCCGGGTTCAGGGAGCTGCTGGGCTCGAGCTTCGGGTTCAGGGAGCTGCTGGGAGGGCTGGTTGATACTGGCTCTTTGTGCAGGCGGAGGTGCCAGGTAGATGTCCGGGGTGCCGAATCCCGCCTCAAAGTTTGGATGCTTGTGTTTGGTACCGGATATGGTTAGGAAAGAAGTGTTTGAAGTCATCCCTAGTCCACTAAGACCTGTCAAATGTATGTGCTTGAGTGAGCCGACAAATCTCTGTTTAAACGAGCGACCGGATACACCTGCTCATTACCGGTCTAGAGTTCAGAAACGGAAACAGCTGCCAGTTATGGCGTCAACAGCAAAGCTAACAGATTCTTTTAAAGTCACTGACAAGCATTCCCGCACTGAGACTCTGCCATGGGTGTGGATGATGCTAATAAGCTTTACAGCTTCATACCTTGCCAATGAACCGAAAATTACGCCTGAGCCTCAGCAGTGCGCACGCTGACCCTATCCCGAGCACGACCTGGCAAAGCTGTCACACGACGTCTCTCTCAGCCTGGCTGCTGAGCCTGTGGTTCCCAAATCCCAGCCGAGCGCCGATGTCGGGCACGCGCGCGCTCGCGGCGCCCGCGCCGCCGGCCGCCGGCGCACGCTGGGTGAACCCCGCCCGGAGCCGCGCACCGTCTGTTTGTGTCGATAATTGGCGCCTCCGTCCGGGGCAGATGGCCGGACGCTGGTCCGGTCGCGCGCCGCCGGTGCCCATCTGCATACAGGGCGCACTGCCCGGGGCTGCCCGCCGCCCCGCTGGACGCAGGCGATCGGGCGGGCAGCTCGCCGGATGTCCGCGGGCACGACTTGGGGGCGGGATGCGCTCTGGCGGTCGGACTTCAGCGCGTGCGTGTTTGTTTCGCTCGCTGCGCGGCGTGATTGGATCGCCGAAGGCGGGCCTTGATGACCGGGTACCGAGGGCGTTATTACCGACACCATGCGGCGATCAGTGGCGCGTCTCCTCCCCGCTCTCTCACCCGGGAGTGTATCTGCTTTCCCACTCAGGGAGTGCTCCCAGCCCTCTCGTCCGGAACTGTTACCAACTTAATGAGGATGTGGCGCATTTTTCTACCCCATGATCATGGTATACTGCACAATCAAACCCGAAGACGCACACATTTGACATCTCCCATTATCTGGCTTACAGTAGGCCTTATCTGTAAAGCTGTCGCACTTGGCTGAAGAGCATTGCCACTGTTCCAAACATGCGCGGAGAGCTGGCAATGTGGTGGATGCTCTCAGACTCAGTCAGAGGAAATACCGATGGTACATAGAATAGTGGCACATCTACTGAGCCACGGTCGGAAATCCATCATCCCATCCGCCTCCTCCTCGCACCATTCCCTACCGACCTCGCCGCCGGCGGCGCTGTTGACTCCCGATGACCCCCGCTGACCTCCGCTGACCTGTCTGCTGATCCGCGCGTGCTGCACGACTCGCTGCGCCGAGCGAGCGGTCGCCAATGGCGTGGAACTCGGGCGGGCACGTTCGCGGGCAGAAAGTGTGAAGCGTGCCGGCTAGCGGCGGCGGCGGCGACGGCGGCGGCGGCGCGGGGAGGCGGCTCAGCGAGGCCAGAGTGCAGCGCGGCCGCGATGCGGGGCGGCCGCGATCGCCGCGTGACCTGCCCTTGGCCGGCCCAGGAGCTGATCTGCTCTTGCCACTGGTAAGTCGGCGCCGGCGGCGCATCGCCGTCCCCACAGGTCAGCGGTTGATACTGCGTTCGCTGAGGAGCATTACGTTTGTGGTGAACGTGGGCTGGAGGGCCGGGCGCCCAGAGCGCTCTGCGTTTGCTGCGCTGCGGGTTGGAGATCGTGAGAGGTTTTGGGGCGGGACGCTGTCGATGCAGGTTTTCGGCTTGGCAAGTGGTTTTCGTGTGTTCGTTTTTGCCGGCGTGACGTGAGCAGGGATCTGAGAGCGACCATATGGCGTCACGTCACGAACGTGCTCGGCAATTGCGACGAGCATGTGACGCAACAAGGAGCCATGAGTTGACCGCCGTTTACATAGTTTTCGTCTAACCGTGGTGATCGGAGGAACCATGTTTCTGTTCAGAAATATCGGCGGTGCTGTTGTAAGGCCGGTCTCGCTATGCCAACGCCTCACGTCGTAGACTCCATATGCTAGATCCCTGAGGCCTGAATAGATAGACCCAAACGATATTCTTACGCTGCCTACACGGGAAATCAATTGGGATATTACTGACCCACTGATCTTGGTTGTTGAGGTGATTAATCTGAAGTAATGTTAACGCATCGACAGTGGAGAGGCCAAACATTTGTACCACGGTACCAGCAGCTGGCACTGTCTTTGTCGTTGGTGAGGAAACGGCTTGCGGCTTCCGGCTTGTTTTGGCTGCATTGCAAGCTGGCGATATTGGTCTACGTCCCCCTAACCATTAACAGATTGGCAAGAAAAACAGGGTTGACTTTTCGCTTGAATATACAACCCGACTGCGGTTTCATGAACAGGTAAAAGGCGGTGGAAATAATAAGGTTGTCATGTTTCATGTCCTCCATTTATACAGCCTGCTTTATATTGTGTGTCGTAGATCTGCCATCAGCCATCTGAAATATAGTCGTTTTTTACAATGTGACTATCCAAATGCTTATTCGTTTGATAAAAACCATACCGTCTGGCGCACAATCAAAGCGAATATAATGGCCTCGGCTGTCGTTAAAACCACTCAGCTCAGTGAAAAGAGTACAATAATGATATCTACCAAAAGCCATGCTCCAGCGCGCCTGCCGACGCCTTCTGAAATGAGACTCTCCACGTTCAACAAGACGGGTGCTGGTCTAAAGGATATTGGCTGCCGGTAGCCACCACATCCGTCTTTCCTAACGACATGCCGGCCATTTATTCTAGACGCTTAATGAACACCGGTGTTGGTCCGGACGATCGGGGCTCGCACCAGCCAAAATGGGCCAGGTCATTACCGGGATGCACAGACTCGCGCCGTGGGCCGACCAGGCTGCCATCTGTCGGTGGCCGGGCGCACTTCCTACCCCAGCGCCGCCGCCGGCCGCCGGCGTGTGATGTCATACTCGTCATGGTCGTCCGATGACGTCACTTGGTCGCGGCCGGATCTTTTGTATGCACCTTTCCCACGGGTAGCCTCATGAGTCGTGCCAGATGTGGCCCTCGGCCTGGATGACGACCCACGCCCTGGCCAAGCATTCCGGGTCCGGTGGGACACCCGCAAGGGCGGATTCAGGCCACTACCTTGGAGGAGGAGGGGGGGGGGGAGGGGGGGGGGGGAGCAACTCCAGTTCGAAGGGGGAGGGATCCAATAAATTGTCCTGATTTAGAAAAAAAATCGATTGTTTTTATTCTTACTTATCAGGGTGTCTTTGAAAACAGCCTTTCTTAGTGAAATTTGCTCGCTGCATATATCATTTTGCTCACCCTGGCCACCTAAAGAGGGGCATGACCCAGTTGGGCCGCTTGAACCCGCCCTGGAGATGGAGCATGCGTGAGGTCTGGCTAAAAATTCCGGAATCCCAGGCCATG